TATATATATATATATATACGTAAATTAAAAAGTCCTTCCGAAGCGGGCGACGGGAGTTCGATTCCGGCGACCGACAGCTTCTTACGGGCGACCCCCAAACATTTAAAAACTCTCTTTTCCCCCTTTTAAGCGCCGACAGGGAGTCGTTTACTGTGGCCACTTTTCACCGACCTCGATGCATTTGACAATCAGGCCCTGCTAGTACTCAACAATCACAGTCGCGCTAGACCAGGGAGCCGGGGTTCCCCGGCGAGGCTTCTTTGGCGCCAACCCCTCAGGACCCTCAGATGAGTTGGCTTGATCAGCCGACACAAGTTCGGGTTTCAACCGTTTTTCTTTTTTTATGATCTTTTTCTTCTTTACAGACGTTGAGATCCGAAAACCCGTCATAGCCAAAAATTCAGGATCCACCGCGTCTTAGCTTGTATTGTTGGCCATGATATTCCTCAGCAATTTAGGAAAAGTTGGCAACAAAGAACGTAATGTCAATCCTTTGGTCCTATTTATGGGACTCATTGAACACGAAATTCAAATGAAAGTTAATTATTGAATTAATTTTCTCAATTTTGGTGTCATTGATTGTTTAATAGTTTTACTGCACTTATTGTGGTTGTCATTATCAATGAGCAGAAAAACTAGATGAACTAATATATATGCACCAAAGCTGTCAGCATGAATCTCAGAAAGATCAAGCAGCCAAGGGTGTGGTCGAATAATCGAAGCATCTGACTAAAGGAGTATGATCTAAACCAGTTGTCCTATGACCGACCGCTCGATCAAGTCGGCCAACATAATATGCCGGCGGATTCGATCGGTGGACCACACTTACAGTCTCAGCTATCTATAACTCCTTGCAAGGACGTCCGGTTGCAACCAGTTGATGACTGACTTTATCTTGATAGAAGGGATCGTCATGCGACTGGTCACCTCAGTCGATCAAACTCAAACATGTCAGCAGTTGTATTGCACTAAATTGTAACACAAATCTGATATTAAATTAGCACATTAATTGCATTAAAGGTGGTTTTAATAACTGTTACATATTTTTTATAAATGTACAAATAGGTCTACTTTGCCCCCAACTTCTCTATCCAGAATTATCTGACCGCTCTACTCTATCTCTCTCTCTCTTCCTCCTCTCTGGACTCTAACTATCAAGACGTGTCTTACCAAAGGACAATCAAGGATTCAACAGCCTCATTATGTAAATACGGGTGTTTTCAGTGCTATGTATGTTAAAACCAAAAATAGGTAATAAAAAACCTAAGAATGGAACTCCCAAGCTCTACCACCATCGCTCTAACCCATCAGCAGTTCATCCACTCCAAAATCCTCCCACCCTTTTATAAAATAGTAAAAGTCTGTCTCCCGTGGAAAAGAGAATTTCATCGATCAAGTTTAAAACTTCATGCGTTGCAGAGAAAAAAAAGTGCTCTTTATAGACTAATAACGAATTCAAATCCAAATCCGAATCACAAAAATAGAAGCAACCCCTCAAATTTTGAAATTTATCAAACTGAAAAAAAAAACTCTACAAAAACTAATCAGAAAGCAGCAGAAAGGCTTACAATTAAATCGACGCCTGGGTGATCCGAACCCCAGAAAACATCGTGATCGATGGCAACAAAGTTTCCGGAGACTGTATCTCCTTCGAATTGCACGAACTCGTAAACGCACTCCACATCGTGGACGGTCACAGCGATCCCAGAGAGGCGTAAAGGAAGCTGAATGAGGAGCCCTAGCAAGAGCAATGCCGCCGCGGATCCAATCGATGCCTTCCTTATCCCCATCGATGTGGACTGATCTTGAGAATCTTGCTGAAACAGTGGAATTTTTATTCGGTACGTGCACCGCATGAA